TGGTCAGGCAGGACTTGCCCTTGGTGAAGCTTTTCGTTAGCAAACTGCTAAAAAGAATTGGCCAACTTGCTCAGAGGGCTAGTTACAAAATATGGAAAGTGTTAAGGAGCCTGATTAATGGGCATGCACTATAAAAAACTGTGTGAAGGAAGGTTAAGGTATATTCTCAAGAAAATATTGCTTGATAATATTGATTATATATCAATATACAAATTAGATTCTTTGATAGTGAAGAAATAAAATGCCTTTTGATTAGTTTGCAAGTGGATATTACGCAAGGGAGCTATACATTTTGAATTGGATCAATAGTGTTGCTAACATTTATATCAGAGTTCCAGGGGAGTACATGTACATGGTTTTGTTCTAAAAATGAATGCAGAGAGCTGTAGACACAAATTCTGTATTTTACTCTTCCTTTTCAAGGTCCCAACTTGTTGATTAAGAACTTGTTTTCTTCCCGTGGTTTCCCTGCCTATGTTTTGCTAACTTTTGCTCCCTCTCTCCCCACCCCTCCCCCTTCCTACTCTGATATTCTGTCTGCTTCATTTCCTTCTTAATATCATGCTGAGCATTAATTAATTGGTATTTCATATTGCTCAAAGAGAGGATAAGGTGGCCAACAGGATGCTGTTTTAACTTGGACTCGTTTTAGTAAAATGATTGTAGGAGTAAAGAATAAAGTGGTTTATGAACTCAGGGGCAATAGAGGAACTGTGGATTCACTTTGTTCAGATGGTAGTCTTGCGGTTTTGTCTCAGAACGTTGTAATTTTTACAAGTAGTTTTTTACTGTGAAGGTGGTCAAATGCTGGAACAGGTTGCCCAGAGAGGTTGTGGAGTTGATTTACACGTTTGGGGACTGAAGAGCTAAGAATAGCAGCTGTTTTTTACTAGTTATCAGTCATAGTCACATTCCCTTCATATTAAATGCTTCCTTAGTTCAGTATTTTGAAGGCTTTAATTACAGGGACAATGTCATTGGGTTGACTAGAAATACAGATTTTGTTTGTCAGAAAATTAAGAAGGATGCCCAAAGGCAGAGTTTGACTGATGGCCGTAGATGATTTTGAAATTTTCCATTCTTGTCACCTTTATTCAGTTCAGTAATCGGTATCAGCAAACTAGATCAGAGGACATTCTCTGTCCCTGAGGCCACACAGTGTGGGATGATGTACATAATGTAGAGCTAAACTCGCTTGCACCTTCCTCTCCTAACCGCACCAAACCAAGCAACTAACCAGGGTGGTTTTACCTTTACTGGGAAGAAGCTCTGGCTCAAGCATTCCTCCAAGCCATGACCAGGTTTTGTCAGGAGGAGTGATAGTTGGCACAAGCCAAAACTGTACCAGCTGTGCTGCCAATTGTACCAAGAACAAACCATGCCAGTGCTTGAGTCCATCTCCTGATCCTGCTGAGTTTGTACCTCATAGTTGTAATCTCTGATTCTGACTGATCTAAATATGCAAAAGAACTTTACTAGCACGGTTCAGTTAAGTTGGTCTAAAACTAGGGTAGGTACCATCTTGGTCTAAGTAAGAGGAAAGAAAGCCACATCATTTCCACTTTAGGTGATAGGAGAGGATATATCGTGCTGGCTGATGCTGATAAGGGAGCTAATGTTCCTTTGCCCTCCTGCTTCCCAGCAGTTAAATCCACACCTGAAGGCAAGGGTGATTGAGACAGTGATGATGGCTGTAACTATGGCATGTTTATTCACTTGTCTAGTAAATTATTTTGTGACATCACGCTCTGTCATTAAAGTCCAATTGTTAGAAAGACTTTTTGAGAGAAATGCAGTAACTACACTTCAAAAAAAGAAAATATCTTTATAAAAAGAAAGTCTTGACAGATGAATTTGGTTTGTATTGTGAATGTGTCTTTCAGAAAATCTGATTTCCCATTCAGCCTCCACACTTTTAAGGAAGTTAAAATGTTTTCTCTATCACAAAGGATGGTGATCAAAGTGTGCTTTCATGGTAATAATCCAAGGTTCCAATAATTTTATCAAAAATGTTCCTTTTTTGAAGCATTTCAGGCTTCATGGTTTAGAATGGAAAAAAAAAAATCCATTGCATGTATTAATCAGAGTGTGTAAATAAACATTAAATAAACAATCGAATTTCAAATCATTTAAACTTTAGTTTTGCTTCTTTATATTTGTAGAGTGCATTATCCTTAAGAAAAATATATGCTTTATTATATTTGAAAAAAAATGTATGAAGATAATGAAATTTTAGCAGAAGTCACAAAAATTGCACAACATACATGTTTAATACTTCAGATTCTTTATAATTATTAGTTATGTTCTGTTTATCATGTTTTATTTCTTATGTGTTCTGTTTGTCATGTTTTTAAAGTATCATTCTTTAGAATATTGATTACCAGATTGCCACGGCATTACACGTAGCAGATTTACGAACACTGATATTAAAAAACTTCCTGTTTCCATTTTATGCGTATTTTTTTAAGCCAGAACTGCTTTAAGGAACAAAAGCTTCCAGACTGCACCATTTTACAAAATACCAGAATTAATTCTGTGTATGATTACAGATCTACTTTTTAATTCTAAAATCAGCCATCTTTATCCTTTCAAAGTAACTATGGAGGGTGCCAGTAAATTGAGCCCCAGCCTGGCAGAGAATCAAGAGGATTCACACAGAGCAAGCTGGGCAAGCAGGTTTGGTAATTCTCACGGTAAAAGCAATAAACACGTGCCTGGTTTGGTTACTGCAGTCTGCTCTATGTTAATTTTATGTAGAAAGCTTTGGGAAAGGGATGAGTTGTCTTTAAGTTAGTTGCAATTTATTTAAAAAGTTAAAATACATGTGCGGATAATAGCAGATAATAGACAGCTCTTGAAGGTATTCAATACCTTTAAGTGTTTACAACATTTTTTTAAAAGGGAATTGTGTTTGTGAATTCTACTCTGTTGTCTAAAAAAGTCATAGAATTACTTGGCAGAAAAGTTCTGTTTTGGTGAGCTTGGTGCATAATTATGAGATTGAAAATGTTTTAACCTGAAATCTGAGATGAAGCACATGGAATAAAGATTATAACTATATGTGTTAGTCCATCGGTACCGCAAATAACTGTCTTTTTAGTTTACTCTTTTTTCCAAGATGTCTTGGGAGTATTTTAATTTCCCAGGATCAGGGCCCATATAATACATTTTTCTTGCACTGCTTGCATTTAGAGGATAACATACACCCTCTGCCCTCCTGCAGAGTGGAGCATTCTGCATGTTCTCACTTGTTTCCAAATGGCAGCCAAGGGCTGTTGGTCGGGGAGACACTTTGCCAATTCAGATACAAAGCAAGGGGAAGGGAATGTGCTGCTTCAAATGCTTTAGACAACTAACTGGCATTAGGTCAGTTTTGCAGATTCTGCAGGAGTTCCTTTTAGTTTACATAGGAAGAAGTGAAAAGACTGAAGTAATACTACCTATTAATTTAAGCATCTAAGTTTTTAAAAGGCAACTCCTGTACTCAGTTTTCAGTCTCTCCCAATGGCACCCCCACACTCTTTTCTCTTTCTCTGAAATGAACTATAGCCCATTCAGTGATAGTAAAATGATCCTTCTTTTTGCAAATACATACCCGCCTATACTAAAAAAGGTACTAAACGGAGCCATAGTTAAATGATTCCTTGGTGGCCTAGGTAGGCTGCATGATATCTTACTGTATTTTACCACGATCAGCTGTATTGAGGATGGATGCTGCCATTCTGTTGTTCTTTGTGCCCACACACAATGAACTCAGTGAAATAAAATTGTATTTAGCTTTCATTTTTTAAAAAGGCTTGGCTAACATGGTATTGATGATATTTTTAAAGCTTTGAGTAAGTGAAGAAAATCCACAGAATAAGGACAGAATTAATTCCACCTAATTTTATCTGTCTAAAAATTAAGTGTCTAACTGTGAGTTACAGTAGTTCTATCTACCCTGTCCATGGTTACCTCTGCCCATGGGCTGCAGAAGGGCTCTAGAGGACTTGCTTAGGTTGGTCTTGCTTGGAAAGGCAGATGCCATCTTTCAGTGGCTGGAAATGCTATGAATTGAACCATTGTAAAATGCGTGGGGATCTAAACCTACAGGCTTTTCTTTACCATGGTTTTCACTAGAACCTGCTTGTTCCAGTTTGATACATACATAATAAGTTTCAAAAAGTAGAGGATAATTTTGTGTTTATTGTCAGAAGTTTAGGCATATTGCTGGATAAACTGAAAATAAAATTTAAATCATTAAGTTATCTTTTTAGGATTCGTATCATTAATTCACAGTGAGCTGTGTTTAGTTTTTTTAGATGTGAATAGTTAAGTTTTAGCAGATTTACACCAAACAAATTATGTAATTAGTGATGTGTTTTTGTTATTAGACAGTCATAATTCAGATGGTCTGTTAACATTTCTCTCTAAACATTCATATTCCATTCAAATTAACAAAGCAGTTTTATAGCTGTGTGTCAATTCCTACTTCCCAATGAGCCCAGCATTTACTTACTCAACCAAAGCACTGCAGACCTTTATGGTTACATCTCTATCCCACCATTGTGCTGGCATTGTATAATTTGGATTTTCAGAATACTTTACAATCATTTTGAAACTTTAAATTCTGTAAAACAGATCTAAAGACAAAACCAGGTAAGCGTATTGTTTGCAATAATTGTTTGCAGGGTTTTTTCCAACTGTATAATGTTATGCAACTGTGAAGGGTGAAATTCTATCTTTGGATGCTTGTGAGCAATATATATTGCAGGTAAGATCCATGTTACCATTGGCAGGGGCAAGAAGGGAAGCTGGGCCCTGAACACTGAGGAGAAAGCTAACACTGAATATTAAATAGAACTGTCTTTCTGATTGGTTTACACATTTCTGTAGCATGAATATTTTCTGTCTCTGAACATCTTTTATCTCCATATTGGGAAGCTGGACTGTTAGTTAATTTGAAAAGTAAAATTTTAAAAGCAAATGATAATTTCTTGTCTTTGCGTTCTTTTAAATAGGAACAGATGTCTCAGGTGTTAGATGCGATGTTTGAAAAGCTGGTTGAAGGAGGGGAACATGTCATTGATCAAGGGGATGATGGTGACAACTTCTACGTCATTGATAGGTGAATCGCTGTGTCTTATTGTAGCACGAAGTATTACGCAGAAGTCCATTGAGAAAAATCTATTTCTCTACATACTTGTATTTGACTCTTACATATGTTTGCATGGGAAAAAGAAAAAAGAACACACGTGAACCAGTACAGCTCTGTCTAAACTATGGAGAGCAGTTTTTGAAAGGAGGCAGATTTTTCATATGGCAATATATCCCTGTCCTCTTTATGTATTGGTGGATCCCAAAGGCTGGTTTGGTTTTTTGGTTTTGTTTTGTTGTTTTTGGTTTTGTTTGTTTGTTTGTGGGTTTTTTGTTTTGGTTTTTTTTTTTTACAGGGAAATCTAACACAAAAGACAACGGGAAACGTTTTACAACTCAGTATTTGAAATCTTAACTGCATTTAAATACTATCTGTAGACTTGTTCACATGAACAGTTTTAGATCTCAAATAGCTAAGTCATTACTCTTCATTTGGAGATCTATACTGGAAAAAGCAGGTAACTAAATAAAATTCTAGGTATTGATTACTGTTGAATCCAGTGAGTTAGGAAGAGCATTTACTTCGGCATCTTTCAGTAGTCTGTTGGCACAAGGTCCAACCAGGCTGTCCCAAACCACTTTTTCTTATTTGTAGCTTTAGTTTTAGGCTGCCACAGTGATGTCTGAGAGTGTTTGAAAGGAATTAGGGATCTTTTACTGAGACTCAGGAAGAAAAGGAGAGTTTACCAGCTTTGGAAGAAGGGGCAGGCAACCCAAGAAGAGTATAAGGATCTCATCAGGTCATGTAGAGAGGAAATTAGAAAGGCAAAAGCCCAACTAGAACTCAACCTGGCCACTGTTGTAAGAGATAATAAAAAAAGTTTTTACAAATACATTAACAGCAAAAAGAGAGCCAGGGAGAACCTCCATCCTCTAGTGGATGCAAGGGGGAACATTGCCACTAAGGATGAGGAAAAGGCTGAGATACTTAATGCCTTCTTTACCTCTGTCTTTATTGGCCCAGTGAGTTATCCCCAGGATACTCAGCCCCCTGAGCTGGAAGACAGGGATGGTGAGTGGAATAAACCCCACATAATGCAGGAGGAA